TAAATGATTTTAGCAAATGGCTGCAATATAACAAAGAGTGAAAAATTTAAGGGGGTCTGAATACTTTCCGTACCCACTGTATGGTATAATTACTAAATTTCCGTGCCAATCCATGTTATTTTTTACTGCGAATAATGCACTGTCACTTTCAGCGCGTGCAGCACAGCAGAAATAGACTCCGTGCGGAAACGATCGCAGCATGACTGCTGCAGACACACCGCTCCTGGAGCGCACTCGCATGCAGTGTGAACGCTCTGATCCATGAACATGGGCACAGAAAAAATACGCACCACAGACGGAATGTGTGAACCTGGCGTTACGTTCGTATGCCCGCCCGGTCTGTTCTGTTCTCGTGCTCCATTTAGGCGCGCTGCATTCTGATTGGTTCGGATAGCATAATGCAGGAGGTCGGAAAATCGTGCTATAAAGCAATTTAGAAATCGCGCGCACTTAAATCGCGATTTTATGATGATTTCGATTAATCGCACAGCCCTACTTCTGATGTTCATTCATGTTTATTTCGTGATATAACTAGTAGCAATGAGGAACAGAAAAATCAGTTAACGTGCCGCTTGAACTGAGGCGGCTACAGATCTGTCACGCCACATTAAAGAGCGCCAAAACGACATTTAGGCTACTGTTTGAATTTCATTATTAAATTGACAGAATTTGAAAGTTCAGACGTTGTTTCATATCAAAAGTAACAAAGCACGAAGCTTATTGCGATTATTAGATGGTAACGTAAACACTCAACAAATAATGTTAATTGAAGTTTTGTTCACGCATCAACCGAACACAAGCAGATTACGGTTCGGGAAAACAAAGATGGATTAAAAACAACAAATTGATATTGTCAACCCAGCACTAGCGTCCACACAGCTGACATGTTTACCGGTTGTAGTTTATCTACGTTGTATGCATGAAATACACACTGACAGTCAAAACACGTCATAGAATAAGCTTTAATTAAACATTTTCTGTCACTGAATTTGGCTATTAAAAGTGGCTTCGGTCATTTTTGGTGCATCACTAGCTCTCACCCGCTGAAGACTGCAAACAGACGGGATGGGAACTGCTCAAAAGTCTACATTCACAAACCCGGCCGGCGCTTATTTACTATACAAACACACAAGCGTCACGTCAAATATACACACAAACACATTCACACAAACTCATGATTGTCTTTGAGAATGTAAAGAGAAGCATGAACAAACAGTACTGAATATTCATGAGCTCCTGACCATCTGCTATACGTCTAATAATACGACTGAGGAAGCGACCCCAACAACAACTTTCAGTTTTTCATAACAAACCACTGAGTTGTGTAACAAATCTTACATTAACGAAACGGTAAGCAATTGACTAGCAACCACCCAGAACACCCTAGCAACCGCATAGCAATGTGCTAAAACCACTCAGAACTTCTTAGAAACCTCACAGGTTTCTGGGAATCCAGGTTTGAGTTACTAGCAGCTGGATAAAATAAAACTGTTGTGTGCTTTTAAAACAGTATGTCATTATGGATTTGGTGGATATAAACACACACGAGAGATCACGACAGAACCAGAGCATCTCAATCTACAAAACGTTCTGTTAATGTGGCTTTTCGCCAACAACGGCATCTGTTCCTAATCCTTCTTCACACTCAAACACACACACACACACACACACACACACTTCATACCGCACTGAGGAGTAGCATTAGTGTGTGACTCAGTTTCATGTTCTCTGCCTAAAACAAACTGCATACATGTTTGCTTACACTCACACACACGTTCATCTAAATGAGGACACACCACACACTCGTTTTATATAAAGCAAATTAACTACAGTTGAACCCAAACCATAACCCTGTGCTCTGTTTGGGGCCTCTGAGAGGCTGTGACATTTTAAAAGCCCAAACATGCTTAAAAATGTGTTTTAGGAAACAGAAACAACTAAAACTAGAATAGAAATAACAGAACTAGTCACATTTGTCAAACGTGCATGCCTATAGCTAGCTTCTGATGCAGATGGATTAATGTTTCAATAATGCCTGTCAAATGGGTCTTATGAGGTCAGACACTCTCAACGTAACAGGAATAATTTTATAAAGTAATAAAAAAATGGCATATATAATTTTATGAAACAAAAAATTATCTTAAGTAATGAATGTATACATTTTATATTGTAAATAAAGTAATGAAATGTATATATTTATTATTTTAACCACTCACAATTGACACTTTTATTTGACAAGGCAGCATTAAAATTTATCAAAAGTGCCAGTAAAGACATTTATAATATTACAAAAAATGTATATTTCAAATAAATGCTGTTCTTTAGAATTTTCTATTTATCAATGAATCCTGAAAAATAAAATGCGTAACAGTAAAAAGCAGCACAACTGTTTTCAACATTGATAATAATCAGAAATGTTTGTTGAGCAGCAAATCAGCATATTAGAATAATTTCTGAAGATCATGTGACACTGAAGACTGGAGTAATGATGCTGAAAATTCAGCTTTGATCACAGAAATAAATTACATTTTACAATATATTCATGTAGAAATGTTATTTTAAACTGTAATAATATTTCACATTTTTTTACAGTTTTTTTACTGTATTTTTAATCAAATAAATGCAGCTTTGGTGAGCAAAAACATTAAAAGACCCAAACCTTTGAACAGTAGTGCATTTTTATATAGTCACCAAACATAAAAACGGTAAAATCAATCTGTACAGAATAAAAAAAGATTCACTTTATTCATGAATCATTTCATTTACCTTTTAAGACATAAACACACACACACACAGATTCCAAGAATCCTTAGTATCTGCAGCAATATCTGCCTATCATTTATGAAGCAGCATTGAAGCGGCGGATAAACGCGTTGAGGGTCATCAGAGGGTTTAGTATTGTACGTTTCTTCTGTTCCAGCACTTGTTGTTATCAGAGCCGGTCTGGTTCATTCTCTCCCCGCCGACACATTCTTTCCCAGCATTCCAGGGGCCATGGTACTTTGTTCTATCACTGTAGCAACCACAATCATGGTAACACTGACGGAACAGGGGAGGAAAGAGAAGAGGACACCCATAATGCACCGAGAAAGAGAGATAAAGGTTTTTGACTTGGGTCAGTAAGAAACCACTCAAATTATCCTGAAAATCCTAAGTATGCAAGATTTGCATGCACTTTTTCTTCAAATATCCAGTATTGTAATGAAATACTGCTCTGAATTCCAATCCATCGATGCAACAACACATTTTCAAAGCACCCATTGCTACAATAAATACTCCCACAAACAACAGGCTTTGTGCGTTCTTGCGTTTTCTCCTTTCATGCCCTCGGCTCGACTCTCTCCCACGGCAGACAAGGCAAACCCAATCAAGCGCTCCTGAATGGACCAATTGTTGGGAGACTCGGGACAATTTAGAGCATACAAAAGATCCATGAGCAAGATTCATGTGGAATAAATATGCATTAGATGTGAGCCAGGCAGACTAGCAGGGAGCAAAGGTTTGCTGGGAGAGAAAAATGACAGGCAGGTGGGTGAGATTCAAAACTCTTTATTATCAGTAATAAAGATGAGATGATAAAAAAATTTTACTTAAACCTTAAATAGTTTAAATAACGTGCAATGTTTCTGTAACGTAATTTTTGCAAAAAAAAAATATAATTGTTATAATTGTGTAAAAAATACTATTAAATAAAGTAAAGAATATATTTGTTTTTGAAATGTAATTTTTGGAAAAATATAATTGTGTAAAAAAGAAATAAACATTTTATATTTTATAAAACAATAAAAAAGTTGTGTGTGTGTGTGTGTTTATAAAATAAGTTTCAGTTAGTTTTTTTGTAAACAATAATAATTTGAATTTGAATAAACAAACATTTAATTGACACTTTTATTCAGCAGAGTTTGATGCATTTTGATTTGACACTTTTTTTTTGTTTGGAAAAAAATGTATACCATATTAAAGAAATATTTAATAAATTTAATAATTAATGATACCAGTACACAAGTTAACACAAAAAATATATATATACAGAAGTGCTGTCAAACAATTAATTGCAAATAATCGCATCCAAAATAAAAGTTTTTGTTTACATATGAGTGTATACTGTGTATATTTATTATGCATATATAAATACACACACATATGGTATATATTTTGAAAATATTTACATATATTAACATGTATAT